CAAGCTAAATATAAATATACTAAAATTAAATCATTATATTTCGGGTAATAGAGCGAGTAAGAGTCTCACCAGGAGGCTTCGCAATCAATATGCTAAAACTAAAGTAGAAAAATTGGTAGTTGATCAAATTGTATACTCCACTCCATTGGAGATTGGACAAAAGTTTAATCAGTTCTACCAAGATTTGTACAATCTAAGGTTGTCCCCAGAATTAAAGGTCATCAAGAGTTATTTATCAAGTTCTCGAATCCCGAGAATTTCTTCCCAGGATCTGACCAATCTGAATAAAAAAATTTCTCTTGAAGAAGTGCAATTTCAAATTGACAGACTAGCTATAAACAAAACTCCCGACCCTGATGAAATCTTATCTCTTAAAACCCCTTACTGAAATGTTTAACCAAGCAGCAGAAAATGAGGTCATACCAAAGGAATTATTGCAATCAAATATTGTCCCTATCTTAAAACCGGGCAAAGATAGTACGGACCCAAGAAACTACAGACCGATTGCACTAATTAATGTCGATATGAAAATATACTCAGCCATTATTGCCGAGAGATTGAAAACTGTTATTACTAAACTTATTCATCCAGACCAAATAGGGTTCATCCCAGGAAGATGGGCATCAAATAATACCCGAAAGCTCATAGATATTATTGGTCTTGCTAAAGCCCATAACGAGCCCCTCCTGGCCCTGTCTTTGGACGCAGAAAAAGCGTTCGACAGGGTCGGGTGGGGCTATTTAAGTGAACTCCTTAAGGCATATGGCTTTAGGGGTTGGATATATACTGCAATTATGGTATTATATTCTGATCCCTCGGCCAGAACTGTAGGCCCTAATATTACCTCGACGTGGTTCGACCTTAAAAATGGAACAAGACAGGGATGTCCTTTGTCACCGCTTCTCTACATCTTATCTCTTGAACCTCTTGCTGTTAATATTAGGAATAATCAGTTAATAAAGGGGGTTTCCACGAAATTTCAAGATATTAAGATTGCATTATATGCTGATGATGCTTTGGTAACTCTTACATCTCCAGAAGAATCATTGGCAGTACTAATGGAAGAAATTGTTAATTTCTCTAATATCTCTAATTTTAAATTAAATGTTTCAAAATCTACTGCTTTAACTATTAATTTACCTTTGACTCAGATTAAAAGGCTATCCCAAAAATATCAGTTTATTTGGACTGATTTAGAAATTAACTATTTGGGTCTTAGTTTCCCTGCCAATGCCTCCCATATAATGGAGAGGAATGTTATGCACCTAATGAAGGATATGAATCAAAATTAAAAAAAATGGAAAAACTTAGAAACATTATGGATAGGCAGAATTAACATCATAAACTCTTATATTTTACCAAAATGGTCCTATTTGTTCTCAATGGTTCCCCTTAAAATCCCTAAGGTGTGGCTACTTATGATACAATCTGCCATAAATAAATTTATTTGGAAAAATAAAAAGCCTAGAATAAGTCAAAAATATATTTCTAACAAATTGTCCCAGGGAGGGCTAAACTATCCAAGTATTACCAATC